GAAATCGGGTTAATATGCAATACTCGGATGAAAATTAAAATGAAAATATGGGAGAATTAATGTAAACTAAAAATACAAGAATTATTTAAATTAAATAAATACAATTGCATATGTACATCTATATTTTTTTATTTCTCAGTTAAGTGACGAAACTTCTCCCCTCAACGCTCATTGAGTAAATCTGCTCGCTCCCTTTTGGCCTCGCTCTTTATCGAGCATTCGGAACAACCCCTAAAGAGCCGTAGAGCCGTAGAGTGGAAGGTGTTGCTCCCTGTCCGACACGTATATGTATATTCAATTTATTCTCATTGGTCTTTACGTGTTGGSTGTTGTTGTTGTTGCAAAGTGGTTGTAGGCTGCTTGGCTCAACCCAACTTTACTGTTATTGGTTATAGCCGCTTTATCCTGTATACACATTAACTGTGTATAAAACACCTAATAATTTTCTTTGCAATCGCCTATGTGGGTGGAGTTTCACAGTGTTCTCACTTTATCCCAGGATTAAATTGATGAAAATATCTCGCAGGCATTCGCCCAAACATGTAGCACTTAGGTTGGTAATTGAATTTTAACTAAAAGTATATAATTGCTTGACTTTCATATATAATGTGCGGATTATAAGTGCTTAAAGATTCGTATTTTAACTTTGGCATGTGGAAACTTCACGTCCAGACCACCGCCGACTTTACTGGTTCCAAGTAGTTTAAAGACTCATTAAAGTAATTAATAGTTAAAGATAGAATAGTTTTGTTTTTTTTAACTATCATATTCTAGTCAGTGGAATCTATTTGAAATCCGACTTAACAAAATAAAAATTACTAATTAGTCTTTAAAGTTTCGATATACGATATAATATGGAAAATAAATCTTTATTAGTTGAAATTTACTTATTGGCTGTGGGAGGTCAGGCATCTATCTCATTCTCGTTAAGACACAAGGCAAACTCCTTGTCGACTGATTCAACAGCGTTGAGTGATATGAATGCTTTTAGACAACATTGTCCACGGATGCTGCTGGTCAAAGAGTCAATGGCGTTAGCTTACGCTCCAAATTTGACAACACTTAGACATATCATAACAGAAGCAATTACCCAAATTAGAATACAGCTAGAAGTACTGATTGGAGTGAACTCGAAACAATTTATTTTGAGAGTCTCAGAAAAACATTTATATTGCTTGCCGATGAGTAATTGCCTACGGGCATATAAAAATGTATATAATTAGAGAAAACCAAGCATTTTTAATTTACCTTTAAAATATATATCTATGCATTTCCATTTATTTACTAAATTTTATAAATGCGGTTTGAGTTATTTAATAAATTTCGTATATAACATTTGAGTTTTCATTTTAATAAGTTTTGCAGCTACAAATCCAAGCATCCAACGTTGCATCAACCTTAGTTTCCAATTAAATTAAACAAAATTTGTTTGTTTTTAGATCAATTTACTTCAAATATGAAGTTGTTTGGCAACACACTCTCTGGATCTATTTTATTGTATACTTTTTGACATAACAGACTTATAGCTAACACACAATCATATACATATATATATCAACTAAATGTAAAAGCAATATAAAATTATGACTTGAGATTAATGGTTCTATATATAGAGATATATATAATAGTTAGCTTTATGCCTGCGCAACTATTGATCTTTATCTTTACAGATTCTGGAAGTCATTTCCTGCAGTGGCTCTAATTCCTTCGCAGATATCAGCTCAAATTCCTGGACAAAGTAATAAAAATGCTTATAGCAAGCATTCACGTGTGCTTCCTGCAATTGAAAATATGTAATTACTTAGAGTATATTTAATTATCATTATTGTTTACTTACCGCACCGATGGTCACAATTCTATCAAAATGATGGATGTAAACATGTACGAAGACCCGAAATAATCGTGTTAAAATTTTTCGACTTAGTGAGCTAAATGATTTAGGAAAAGGAACATCTGAAATCGAAAAAAAAAAACTTTAACTATATATTTATAAGTCTATAATCATGACTAGACATACCTGTAGAGACGGGAAATATTGCTTCATTGTTAATTTGAGTCTCTATCCAATCCATTAGCAACTCAATATATTTTTGTGCAGGCAGCGCAGTGGGTTTCTTGTATCTATAATTTAATATTGCAAATGTGATTAATTATATCACAGGAATATTGGGTTTTCACTTACACATCTCCGTCCACCCACAAGTATTCATATTTCGAGCCACCAGACATTGTCGGACAGGTGGTTTCATTGCAAAATTCAGACACAGTGCCATAAATGAGATTGATGCGGTTGAAGAAGTCAACAACTGTATAAAAAGAATTATACAAAATTTATACCATATATAGATGGAACATTTGCAATGAATTCAACCGCGCACAGGCATAGAATACGGTTATAGGGGAGTGTAAATGTATGCGCATCTCGATAGTTTTTTTTATATGTTATAATAAAATAAGTAAATAATACGAGCGTGACAAACGGAAGCATCTTAGTCGGCACAATGTCAGCCAGGTACCCATAATTGACAACTCAGGGGCGCAAAGCACACGAGCTATACTATATTGGGCGGAAGGTGCCCCTGTGTAGTTCTGGAACTCTCATCAGCATATGTAAATAGTCGAATTTACGCACCGTGCACTGCTAACCAGTCATTCATATTCTCGCCTTCCGGTAATCGTACCACTTGACGTAAATTGATTCCAGAGTTCAAACTAGCCTGGGCCTGTTTATGAAGTGAATAGCGGATGGTACCGGCCGTAAATCTTTTATTTGGCCTAAAAGTCTGCAAGCCGAAAAAAACATTTCCATATTAATCATAGAAACATTTCTTTAAGTATAGTTATCTTGTAAAGATTATAGCAATAACATACCTTTCCCTTTTGGAAAAAGTCTAAGAACCCGTTAAGGGCCATTTTTCGGTAGTCTTTTATTTATTTTCGTATATTTATATTATATTAAGAACACTTTAGCACAAGAAAACATCTGTTTAAACAATGTGACCAGTCTTAAAAAGTAAAATACCAAAAGAACTTTCTCGTCTGTTAGTTAACAGTAAGTTAAAATATTTATTAAGAGTTAAAAATTATATTTTGGCATTTGGGAAGCAATTTGCATTAATTAAAATAAATACTCATTTTAGAAAAATTAATCTTAATTATAGTATCAATAAGCAGCTAACAGAACATTAATGTTTACAGCAGCCAGCATATTCATTGGTATTTAGGTATTTCATGATTCATGTGCCTATTATTTATTTTACTTATTATTTAATCCAATAACGTTTAAATAAAAAATATTTATTCATAGAAAATGCACTCAATTATATCGGCACATTTTTAATTAAATACAACTATCGATATATGTTATCGAAAATTTATACCAGCATTTAGGTCGCCATGTTGTTTAGTAATTTGTGCGTCTCTGTTTTGTTTGTGTATTAAAACGATTGAAAGATTAAAACAAAAATAAAAAATGTTCTACGAACACATAATATTGGCCAAAAAAGGCCCGCTAGCCAGGATCTGGCTAGCAGCGCATTGGGATAAGAAAATAACTAAAGCGCACGTCTTCGAAACAAATATAGAGAAATCAGTGGAGGGTATTTTACAGCCAAAAGTAAAATTGGCGCTACGTACGTCAGGCCACTTACTGCTTGGCGTTGTGCGAATTTACTCTAGGAAGGCAAAGTATCTATTGGCGGATTGCAATGAGGCGTTTGTTAAAATCAAAATGGCATTCAGGCCAGGAATGGTGGACTTACCTGAGGGCCATAGAGAAGCTAATGTTAATGCAATTACGCTGCCCGAAGTTTTCCACGATTTTGACACAGCCCTTCCCGAACTCAATGATATTGATATTGAGGCGCAGTTCTCTGTCAACCAGTCTCGAGCAGATGAAATAACAATGCGAGAGGATTATGGTAGCCTGTCACTGTCCCTCCAGGACGACGGCTTTGGAGACATTGGATTCGAGGCGGACACGCCCGAGATGATGCGTGGCCCCTTGTCCGGGAACATAAATGATCAGCTCTTTGATGATGATGTACTCACAAATGTCGTTGAGCCAAACGATCCCAACATCACGTTAACACAGTCCGAAATGCCGAATGATCGACTGGACGGTGATGGCTTTGGTGATTCCTTTGGACAGCCAGCATTATTCGAGGACGATCTATTTGGGGAGCCCCCGCAAACAGTTGGCATAAATACGGCAATTAATGAGCCCACCAATCCGCCGGATTATTCGGATGATGATGGCATCGATAACTTCAACAACCCTCCGTCTCCGGCGTCGTCCTGTGCCGATTCGGTGCACGATGACAAGGAGGACAACTTTCAGGCAAAGGATAACAGTTTTAATGAGGACGCCAATGCAGCTGGCGGGGATGCGGCTCTAAATGATCTGACCCTGGTACAAAATGACGACGAGGGATTCGCTCTGGCACCCATTGATGCAACCACTTACAAGGGCGCCACGAAAGCCAAGCGCAAGCGAAAGCTTATCATTGACGAAATCAAAAATATATCGGGAGAGGAAATGAAGGCCCAACTGGCGGACACCTCCGATATACTGACGACTCTCGATCTGGCCCCGCCCACAAAGAGATTGATGTATTGGAAGGAAACGGGTGGAGTGGAGAAGCTGTTTGCTCTGCCCTCTCGGACAATACCCGCCAGAGTTCTACTTAACAACTATAACCGGCAATTGGTATCACATTCGACGCCCCTGGAGGACTTCTCTGTAATTGCCCCCATGGACGTTCTGGGCTTGGAGATGTACGCACAAGAAGGCGAAAGCTCGGTCATAATTGTGAACAAGAAGGGACGCAAGCGAAAGAATGATACGTCTGCAAGTTTGGCTGCTGACCAAAGTGCAGATAATAACACACTCACTCAGAGTCTAGCGGCGCCCGAGATGCTTCGAGAGCAGGAGAAATCGCTGGGCGTGTCGGCTGTATCACTTGAAATTACCACGAAAGAGCAGGAGAGCCTTGGACCTCAGAACGAGGCAGCTATCTTTGAGAATATGCGTAGTCCTGCCCTGCTCTCGTTCAACGACATGGAGAACTTCTCAAACCTTAACGAACTACCACTGACGCCGCGCGATGGCCACCAGGATATGGGCGATGATTTCCATCACGGCGACCTGACACCGGCTGGACTGGAGCATGGACAAATGACGCCACATCATGGAAGAATGGGAGACATTGATTGTATGCCAAACCTGCCGCCAGACCAAGTCAGCTCGATATTCAACGAGACCGAAGGAAGAAACATGCCCGCTGGCAACAACTTCAATAAGTCGTGCGATATTTCCACAGATTGGAATGACTACGACTTTCCGCCTTCAGCGGGTCTGCCGCACACCGCAGCCGAGGAACAAATGGAGAATGAAACGGATGAGCAGTTTGAGGAGCGTGTGCTGAACAAGCGAGCGGCGCAACTCTTCCTCGATGTCAGAGTTCACTTCAACAACCACGATCACCTGACCCTATCGCAGCTGACGGTGCGAAACACGAGAAAACAGGCGGCTCAGAAGTTCTACTCGTTGCTCGTATTGAAAAAGTTCAAGGCCCTGAATATAACACAAACGGCGCCGTATGCCGATATTACGGTAACGCGCGGTCCTCTGTTCGACAATCCAAAATTGTAAAGATTAGACGAACGGTCTGTTTGCATGATCTTTGGGCAGTAAGAATCCAAAACAAGAATTGGGAGGATAAGCTGTCATGATTATATAAACGATTTTAAATTAAGCTAAAAGTAATTATTTTTTTAAATGCAATTAATTGTAATGTTAAAAAAGTATTGCTGCATTGATTATATAATTTACAACCAGTTCATTTAAATTATTTATAAATAATTAAAATCTTTTAGGAATTTTGAAATGAGTGTTAAACATTGTGTAAACCCTATTTAAATACTTCCATCGCCTATATAGATTATCTTAATTCGAACTTTCGTTTAGACAATCTAGGCTTTCAGCTGCTGAACTTCCACAAACTGTAAGTCTAAGCAAAACACATTCGCATCAGAAACTAATCTCTAATTTCTTAAATAGGTTGGATCTTATTCAGGGAACTTCAAGTTAAATAACTGTTAATGAGAGACAAGCAAGGAAAGACTCCCATTACCGCATTGTAAAGAGCATTTGATATAAGAGATTTCATAGTAAATGTTGTTCCGTTGTATCCAGTAGGCCGAGCGAGCACATTTGAAATAGTTTGTAATTTTATAACATATTTATTCACATCTTTACAGACATGTAACAATTGAACATAGATTATTGCMAGTTATGTACAATAAATATATATATATATGTATAGCTGAAGACGTGACTTTATTCGACGTTATCATATATGTCCTCCATACCGGGAACACCTCGCAGCTTCTTTATAAATACGTGGTATGCCTTCTTTTCGTCCTCGTCCAGCTGTACAAGGCTCTAAAATAACACTTGAATTAGTATCCGTATCATATAGAAGAGACTATTTATTACATTTGGTGTAAATACATGCTCGCTGTTCTCGATCGAGTACCCATTTTGCTCCAAGGTTTTACTGAGGCCAGTTAAATGAGACGGACTGCAAATGAACTAATCATATTAAAAATATTAGTAATGGTGGTAATTCTAAGGGAAACTAGAATCTAGATAGCCATCATCATCATCATGGATTAGTTATCTCCCTTGATTACTAACATTCACTGCGGCCGTGGCAGCATCAACAATTTCCACATCTTCAGCTCCTAGTTGAATTGCGTCTTCCGTGACCTTCTCCTCTAGGCTGGTTTCAGTGCTGGTCAACGGTGAAGCATAACGCGCTTCTATAAGTCCAAAATCCTCGAACATATGGCTCACATCTACGAATTCAGCTCTGCAATAGATTTGTGACTTAAGTGAGGGTTTAAATATACTTGAATCTCTTCATTAGTTTAATTCATGAACTTACCCAGATTTTTTGATCATTGCCGTCACATCCATTTTGATCCCAGGCAGATTATCGCTATATATGCTGCAAATCATGTAGACTTTTCTTCTATATCTTATGTCAAAGCGATGTTTCTTCAGTTGAGCTTTGTTATGCTGGCATTTCTTAATTGTATTTTGTATTGTTCCCATGGGCATATTTCTCTTCAGGGCATTGTCAATTTCCGATCGCAAAAGCGAATTCACGGCCGGATCAGCCGATTTGCCTTCCTGTACGGCCAGCCGGAGTTGTCTTGCAATCTTTTCAAAAAGAGCTGCCCGTAATCCATCTTTCTGCGCCTTAATATGTTTTATGTTGGCCCATTTTGAATGTCCAGCCATGTAACGTACGGGCTGTACTTCATTGAAACTTAATTTAATATTTTTAAATCCAATTCGACTAAAATTTCGTAACATTTTGTTGTTACGGTGTATTTTATGTTAAGCAGCAGAAATACATGCGCCTCGCCACAATCGAATTGGCATATATCGATATCAGAAATTTTAACAGAGCTTATTAGACAACTATCGATATGATTTTATATACGAATTTTACACCACTGTGCAAAGATAAAGTATTCTAAAAGCGGCAATTGCTTAGTTTACTGTACGTAGTTAGAGAACGTTTAGAGGAATTGACTTTTTTTGGCCACCTGTCTGGTTCTGTATGTCGATTCGATTTCAGTTATCAGATACGCCTTTTGTATATATTTTTATTTTAAATATATGTGTTTAAAATATAAAACTTGTGGTAATTGCGCCCAAACAAGAATTTAAATAAGCTGAAATAGCAGTAAGCTTTTGTCTGTAAGCATACGTCAATAGTGAACTTGCCTTCGATGATCTGTTCGAATTCAGCAGGATGGCGTTTAGTGCGTTTGCTGAATGCGCAGTTTCATATCAGATTATCGAGATTGGAGATGGCAAGGACTCAAGGGTAATTTCTTTTGAAATGCTGGTAGAACTGGCGACTATACATTCAACTACAATAACGCTTATAAATAAAAATATTGCTTATAACTGCGAGTTTGGGTACATTTTTACCCCTTGGATTACAGACATACATATGTACATGTCTGTATTCCGATTTACTAGTCTCTAGCATTTTAATTATTTGTCTTCGAGATACACAGATATAGTATTTGCCACGCCCCTTATAAGTATTTCTACATCTTCAACTGTTGCGAAAGCGATTCGAAAGCGCTCTTAAGGACGAATATTGCCAAGACCAATATTGTCTTTCGTGTTTGAAGTAATATAATTAGCAATACTTATTTGAACATATGTACATATAAAAACCTTGCGACTCGCATTTTATACAAATGATTTAAAATGGAACTCTTCCGCGACATCCGAATCTTTTTAACTGCGAATTTTTATTAGACATGAATGTTAATAGACTTCTAATATTTCTGTTATCAGTTGGAAATTGTATCACTTTCAATAATTGGGATTGATTTTGTTCAATGACAGCTTTCCATTTGTTTTTAGTCCTTTAGCTTAACTTTCATTGGATATGTATGTAATCTTGATATTTACAGACATGGCTAGCTTCGAGTGAAAAGTCGAAGTATGTCAATAGTCTATTAATATTGCGACACACTTTTACTATAGAAATAATTTCTATTTTAATATATTACAAATAAAAATATATCAAAAAACAGCTGCTTGTAATATGACGGCATTACGGGAATTCGCATTCGATGATCTGTTCAAGCTCAATAGGATGCTCTTTGATCCCCTGACCGAGGTCTATTCGATCGCGTTCTACGCCTTGAAACTATTTGAGTTTCCGATGCTCAATGAAGTCGCCGTTGCTCCCAATGGCCAGCTAACGGGATTTATCATGGGCGGTCGCGTTCGTAATAAGCAATGGGTCGGAGATGGCAAGGATTCAGAGAAGATGAGCAGCCATGGCCACGTCAGTGCCCTGGCCATTGACAACGACTTCCGACGTCTGGGAGTGGGCACGCTGCTGATGGAAGGCTTCAGGGTCAAACTGGAGGTCGAACGGGAGTGGTACATCGACCTATTTGTGCGTTGCAAGAACCAGAGCGCCATCAAGTTCTACGAGCTGCTGGGCTATGCGAAGTACTCCATACTGCGCAGATACTACGACGATGACGATGGGTACGAGATGCGCCTGCCGCTCTCCCAGGACGTGGACGGCACTTGCCTCAAGGGACGGGTGAATGCTATAGACGGACTTTACAGTGCCGGAGGGGAACTGGTGAAGGTGCTGAAAATGCTGTTCGGCATGCTCCGCGATGCCATATTGAACGTGCTGTGAGAATGTTGTCAACTCGTGTTGAATGTAGCCATGTCAAAGCCAATCATAAATAGTCAGTAAACAACACGCACTTGCCATCATCAAAATCTATTTGTTATACATATTGTTTATCATCATGAGTTGCCTGCGGGAGATGCATCTCGATGATCTGTTTAAATTCAACACGTTAGTCTTCGATCCATTCACCGAGGTGTATGGCCTCAGGTTTTTCATGCGCCACCTGGCCCAGTGGCCCGAACTGGCGCTGGCCGCCCTCTCGCCCCAGGGCCAACTGGCCGGCTTCATTTTTGGCAAGTGCCAGCCCGGCACGGATGCCGCCGACCTGCACGGCCACGTTTGCGCGCTGACCGTCGAGTCGCACTATCGCCGGCTGGGCGTGGCCTCGCTGCTCATGAACCACTTTGCGCACTTGCTGGACCTGAGGAATGCCTGGTATGTGGATCTCTATCTGCGCTGCAGCAACCAGGCCGCCTACCAGCTCTACTGCGCCCTCGGCTACTGTCTGCGCCGCGTCCTGCTAGAGTACTACCCAGGCGATCCCGACGAGGATGCCTTCGACATGCGGAAGCCGCTGGCCATAGACGTCCTGGGCCACTCCCTTCTGGTCGCCAGCAAGCAGTCGGTGCGCCTGCCCAGCGACGAGGAAAGCGACGACGACTACAACTAGGGCGTCTGTTTCTCCCTTCCTGTATCTTTATTTTTTTATTGTATTTATATTTTCTTTTTGGCATTTCATTTCTCTCGACGTTCAACTAATTAACTAAAATATTCAATTGCGCTAAAATTAAATTTCCGCTGACGCACAACAGCTAAACTACAAATTTAAGATGTATAAAAAAAAGTGTATATAACAACATATATAACATATATACTCATGCGGGTTTTTATGCCAAACAAATTTAATTGAATACTGAAATAAAAGAAGAAATCATTGAAACACTTGCGACGCGTCCGTTTCAATGGCCAAGGCCCATGTTACGCTTTTTTTTTATTGGCCACATTTTGTTTTTCTTTCCAATTGTTTTGCAAATTTGCTTTGTTTTTTATTGTTTATTTTTTAAATATATATTCGACGCACAGCCCCCAATTTGCATGTCCAAAGCACGCGCAACTTCATTCGCCTATCAAATTATACCACAAATTTCTTTCAGTGTCTGCTTTGCTCATGACATGTATTTAGTTTTCTCTCGTCTGAGCGATTTGTTTAAACATTTCGTTGCTGCTGTTGTTGTTGTTGCTGAATTTGTTAGCGACGAGTGCATTGAACTTATGTGATTTTTCCTGGGCTTAATTGCTTTTTCCTTAATGTGTTTTTATTTGATAAATTCTGGGTAAACATTTCTGTTTGTTTTATCTAATTCGAGTGCAGCTTTTCATTAGGCTCAAAAAGCAAACAGCATAGGCCAAAATTTATCAATAGATAAGCTTTTACAACAATATATATAATTAAGGAATTAAATCATATAAATTGTCATATTTCCTCGATTGATTTTAGCTATAGAACTATCTGATTAAACTCTCATTAAATTAAAAAAAAAAAAAAAATAAATATAAATGGAAAAATTATAATATATTAGCTATTTAGCTCTCACTTATTTCCTTCGAGAAAGTATTTTGAGCCTATACAGCTATATTGCACAATAAAAATATGGGGCATAGTTTTTAATTAGTATATATAAAATTTAATAAACACATATTTATGAAATATAAATATTTTATTGATCAGCATTTGTCTCAAAGACAAACAAAGGGATAGACAGATGGACTTAGACAGAGATAGAGAGCCGTTCTCGCGCTTAATTATATGTATATGTAAGTTAAGACTACAAAGGAGGCTGATGCCTGATGCCTGATGATTCCACTAAGTCATTTATGGGAAGATTATAACCAGTCGAGCATATATGGCTCAGTTCATATTCTGACGAGAGACAGTCTAGTTATAGTTGCTAAATTATCCAGTTGTATATAAACTACATTATTTCATGGGATCCAAGTATATTTGTTTCCGCTAGAATGCGACACAGCGGCCCTAATCAGTGCTCTAGGCCTCTGCCACGCCCCCTTATGCTACAAAAATGCTAATAAAACCGGTTTACTCTATATTCCATTAAAAATAGTGTGACTTAATGACAATGGGTATTTTATAATTATTAAATCCAAGTGTTTGTCATGTAATTTGTCTTGTTGTTGTTGTTGTTCAATATTTGGACAACCGCGCCCATTTTATAGACAGTCTGTCGGGCCACTTGAAAGCCTCAAGTGTTTCAAATACACATGATTTGGTAATTCAAACAAATTGTTTTACGCTCATCTAATGAGGTTAATGTTCGAAGCTCGTTGACTCAGACCCGATCGCTGTGCGCTGTTCAGCAATCTATTTATACGATTTAATGGCGCATTTTGCACAAAAATAAAGTACAAGCCAATTTGAATAAGCATCTGCAGAAGCTATAAACAGATGTACATATATATTCATATACCGATTCGATCTGTAATCGAAGCATTAGCATAATTCATCGCCGGCACTGAGGAAAAGTGCGCAATATGAAAGGCAATTAGACTGTGTGGCAGGTGGTCTATCTATCGACTAACTGCAGATCATCCTAACTATATCTTTATATAGAAAATAATATACATTTAGGAGATATATCAATTAGCAGATTTGTAGATATTCTGTACGATGATGAATGAATAGCTAATGCCGCAGACGTTGCATACGCCCGATAAATCGCGATGTTGGTTGTTTGTCTGGCTGGACTTATGTTTGCCTCGACTATGTACTATATATATGTATGTATGTATGTGGCTGATGTTTAAACGTCTTTTAGTTTTCTGTTAATTTATGCGTGATTTATTATGATATATCCCAGCATGTGGCCGTCGCTTATACGAAAGCCTTGACTGACCCAACCATTTGGTATCATTCGCATCGCCTTTGCTGCTCGATTGTCAGAAATGTGTGCATGATATTTGGCGGCTGTTGGTCCAAAGTTGTACCCTTAAGCATATATATATATACTTGAATACATGTATATATATAATTGTCTATATACTTGGATGCTGCATGCGCCTATTTGTTTACATGTTTTCTTTTTGGCTTCTCGCTTTTTTGGCACCCGATCAACTTGACAAAAAGCTAAAACATATTGCCTATGTACAGCATGAGCGAGTGAGTACGCAGTGGACACAGTCGCGGTCATCTTTATAAATACAATCCGATTCATGACTGATTTCATATCAAATGGGAGCGAACTTTGCTTCAGTTTGATCTATCTAGATGCTACAGCGTAGTGCTGGGGGCTTCTGGCAAACATTTGCGGTTCTTCTTATGCTGCACATAAATAAATAAATAAATAAATAAAATGAAAAGTACAAGCAATCGCGCAATGATCGCCCACTGGTTGCCGCTTGCTCAATTTTTCTTTTAAATAAACTCAAAATTTCATAGAATTTTCCAAGCAGACGCACTTTACACACACGCACACATACATACATACACTCGCAGCTGTCCGAGAATGGCCGAAACACACACACACACACATCTCTGCATATGTGTGTATGTGGAGGAAAAGCATTTCGAAATGTGATTTTTCGGCTTTTCGGCCAAGAAAATTTCGTGTGCGAATTCAGTGCGACTTGGGCTGCTAACTTGAACGCGTTGCAAACGAGAAAAACATTCGAAATAGAAGTCTTTAACTAAAACTAACATACATATACATATATGTATATATATATTTTATATATATACATATATCCTCATCCATCTATCTAGCTAGCTGTCTATATAGCCGAGTGCGGTATATATAGATCTATTTGCTGAGTCTGCAGCACGGGCAAAAGTGAGCAATGCGTCGATCGTGCCGCGTTTTATTAATAGAAAATTACAAAATTCTTGCGCGAAAATTGTGAAAAAAAGGGCTTTTCCTCAGTAGACTCTGCTGAGAAAAACCCTTAAAGACCATGTTAAAACTTTTTCTCTCTGTGTATATTCAAACTCAATATGCTATAAAAACTATATGCTGAGCATGAATGTGCGTGTGTGTGTGTGTATGTGTGTGTGAATGTGAGCTAGTGCTTTTCAATTTAATGTTACATAAGAAATCGTGATCTTTGTGCAAAAAAATAAACCCAAAAATTATTGAAATTTAATAGAAATATATTCTAAAAATAAATAAAAACATTTTTCATAAATTTTCAGTGTTTATATGTGCATAAATTGCATTTCGTTTGAAAAATCGTGCAATTAGGCAACAACAACGTCCGCGATAACGATTTACTGCTGTCTCTGTTCAAAGGAAAACTCAAATTTTAATTTTGCAATACAAAAACACAAAACAGGAATCAAAAACAAAAAACAATATGAGTTCTGGGTAAGTTTTAAACAAATACAAGAATTAAATTTAAAACAAGTAAGAAGGCTCCAGTCGAGACTGCTCGACTAGGAGATACCCTGAACCCTCTAAGCTGATATTCTAATTATTCTGCACCTCTTTTATGCACACATACATACACATGCGTCCACACGCACGCATAAGCCTGCGCTCTGCTAACTGCGCAGTAAGCAGCGACTGCGCTTGGGCTGCGCTGCAGTGTGGGCAATATTATGAGAATTTATTTGTCAAATAATTTCTTTTGTANTGCGCAGTTAGCAGAGCGCAGGCTTATGCGTGCGTGTGGATGCATGTGTATGTATGTGTGCATAAAAGAGGTGCAGAATAATTAGAATATCAGCTTAGAGGGTTCAGGGTATCTCCTAGTCGAGCAGTCTCGACTGGAGCCTTCTTACTTGTTTCATTTTTGTTTTAGTTTTACAAATTTCTATTTACGGAAGACCTTTTGATATGAAATAATCGCTTCATTTATATCCAACTTATATATAGTATAATTTCAAACTTGTTTTATTCCTTCCCCTTTTTGCTGTTGGTAGAAACATTTAAAACACATTTAAAATTTTATTTATGTTTAGCTAGTTTAAATATCTATGTATAAATGTTTCGAAACTTCTTGTTAGTATAGCCGCCTTGTCCGAGGCGCTCACTTTATACAGATGATAGCAGCAGCTGCTGCTGCCTTTGCCGGC